AACACTTGTGTTTACTGTTTAGAGAGAAAAAAATACTCCTGTTTTGAAATAAGAAATTTAAAAAAAATTGAAATTTAGAAAATAAATAAAAATAAAGCAAGAAATTAAGATAAAAGAAAAAATAAGATCTAACTCATGGTAATTTTCTGTTGACCCCTATGGTAAATTAGAATTTTATAGACCTTGGTAATGACTACACAGTATTTGCATAACTAGTACCGAGTATTTTAATTTGGGTCGTGCGATAGTGGTGGAATGATATTGTTTTTTACTCCGTATCATATTAAAAACATGGAGCATGCTACCCTCGTCCTAGTTTGTACCACAAAATTTTACAACATTGGCATAATACCAGTTGCACTTACATTTAATGTCAGTACAAAGTCTTGGGGTACAAAATATGGTCAAATATGGAATACAAGTAGAATTTTCCTAAAAACATTATTCTTCTCACATGCATTAGAGCAATGAAAATACACATAATGTTGGGGAGCGTCAACCGACTTTTAACGCCGATGTGGCGTTAAACACCGCCCCCCGAAGGCGTTATCTCTATGTTATGGGGCGAGCGTCAAACATTTGACGTTGCAAATGGCCTTCTTTTCGGCCGTTGGCTACCCCCTCCAACGTCTATTTAGCCGTTAAAACAAAAAAATCTTCTTCATATAAATTCCATTTATTTTTTAAAAATCAAACACATACATCTCTCTATCTCTCTTTCTCTTTTTAAATTAAAAAAACTTCAATTTTTTCCCTCTTTTTTCATGAACCTTTTCGGTTTTAACGTTCCTCCGTCCGGTCTCGAGCCAAACAAGTAAGCGATATGATTTTTTCAATTGTGCAGAAATAAACTGTCAATGTTCAATATGCAAAACTCGGTAAATCTCGAGGACCCAGAGTTGGTACCGGAAACTCAACCGGAACCAAGTGCACAAAAAATAGTACATGTCAGAAGAGTCACAAGAGGAAGGGCGACAAGCCGATGACCGAGGCGGCATGGTCCATTCAGAAGTGTATGCCGGAGGATGAATCGTTGTTGGCGTCAACTTGTGTTGATGTCTCCGAGCATCCTATCTTTGGTTAAATTTATGTGTTTTTTTAATATATTTGTGTTATTATTTGTATATTTGTGTTAAAATATTTTTTCCCGTTCAATTATATACTTTTTAAAGGTTCCAATCAAACGAAGGATACGATGTAGGATCGTATCGAGGAAAAGTTCTTCGCAATGATAAGCACGGACGCCTCGTATAGTATCCAAAAGCAACTCACTTCTAAATGGGGCCACATACATCAACCGTAAAGCCCGAAAGTTTATCAGAATTTACGAGGAATGCTTTCAGTCTCGGAAGAGTAGGATGAACGATGCTGATGTTCTGCGGCAAGCCACCGCCCGGTACCAAGACGACGGGCACCAAGACAAGGTTCCCTTCGATCTTTGGAGAATTTTAAGCCGTTCACCTAAATGGCAATAAATCAAGAACCATGAGCACAAATCCTCAAAGAAAAGATCCTCAATCGAGGCCGAGGTTGAGGTCGATGATACTATCTATTTGTCCGAACAAAGGCCTCCCTTCAACGTATACGATTCCGGTGATGGGGACCCTATCACATGGCTGATCAGAAGAAAGAAGGCAAAATTCATTGTCTCGGGTTCTGGAGGATCCGTCTCTATTTCCTCTCACGATGATATCGGTCGGGCAATGGTTGAACAACTTCGGGTGTTCAATATTAGAGAAGAAGAGAGGGATAAACGAAAGCAACATAAAAAAGAAATAATGGAAACTGACCTTGGCACATAATCGAGCTCCAAGCGTATGCTTTACGAGAGAAGACAAAAAGAGATGAAGGCTAAATGTAATTTGCTTTAGTTTTTTTATTAATGTATTTTTTTATTAAATGTCCTTTTTTGTTGAATATAATTTTTATGAATTATTGTTGTTTTAATTTTTTATTTAATGAATGTAATTTTGTTATGAATTATTCTCGTTTCAATTAAATAATTAAATAATTAAATAATTAAATAATTAAATAATTAAATTTTATTAATTTAATTTTAGAAGATTTGTATTTAAAATGTAAAAAAAAATTGAAGCCCATGTTTGAAGCCCCGGGCTTCAAACTCATTTTCTGTGAATCTTTGAGTTAAGTTAAAGCTGACGTGGCACGCAAAGAGAGAAAATTTGAAGTCACCAAACTTCACGGGTATTAACTGTGCTCTTAGTATCATTCCCCACCCTCATGTTGATTCGATAAAACGATTCTTCTCTTCCTTATTATTAAAAAATATTAATTCACTTTATGGTATGTTTGGGAACATGGATTTAGATTTCAAATCCGGATTTGGCTTAAATTCCATGTTTGGGAAACTCAAGCATTTTGAATTTGGATTTGAATCAAATTCTTTACATTCAAAACCAAACTTAATTTGAAATCCATGCACCTCCCCTTGTCATTTGAAATTCAGGATTTCAAATTTTGGAATTGAAATGCATGAATTGAAATGAAATGCTAGTTGCCAAACACTACCTTAGATAATTTGAGTCCTTTCAAGGGCGGATGTATTAACTAGTTAAGCGTTATTAGGCAGAGATAAGTATGAAGAGATACTATAATCTTATCAAATCAATAACATATAGTTCTAATATTTGGCTAATCTAAACATATCGTGTTTGTATTAGAGTAATTTAAAACATAAATTTATCTTTCATAAGATTTTACTTTTTAAAATTTGTTGTAAGTTTAAATTTATACTAAGAAGCTAGATATTACTCCGTAAATTAAGAAATCATCTGTTTGTGCTTAACTGTTTATTCTTTCTTGAAATATAATGTCAAACTCGAAAATAAGTTTTATATTTGAAAAAAATGTGAGAAATTTTACACAAATATTGTTTGTTGGCATACATAAAAGTAAAAATCATCCTAAATAGGGCTAAAACATAGAGGAACGTACCAAAATAAGACTTTCATGTTTTTTTTCCCAGAATAGAACTTTGCACTATGTAATGTGACTTTGCATTGTGGTAATGTGGCAGTGTACATGTACAAATTACTATACTTTCTTGGTAATGTACATGACCATATTTGGTAATGTAAGTCCTATTTCGGGAATAAAAACATGGAAGTCCTATTTTGATATATTTTCAATGTTTTAGTCCTACTTTGGTCTTTCTCCCTACATAAAATGACAAGAGATTACTCCCTCCATTTATATGGTTAAACTTTATTGGCCTATTTTTGTTATTTGTCTGATAAAATAATTAAATCATAGAAGAAAATTTTTGGATGGAGAGAGTATTTAATAAAAACTAATTTCTAAGCTCAAATAGATCAAAGTAAAATTAATTAAAACTTGGTACTATTAATAATTAAAACAGTTTTTAAACATTTTTTCTATAAAAATGTGATAAGATTACATAATTTTTTAAAGATATTTTTGTGTAATTGAATATATAAGACATTACTATAATTGATATTTTTTAAAGCTTTTTTTAGAGATATTTTTTAAAAAATTGAATATATAAGACATTACTATATTATTTTATTAAAAATATTCATACATCCAAAATCCATGTGTAATTGTTAAGATTAATTAAAATCTTTAATGTTGGATTAATTAGTTTCTTATAAGGTAATTATCATTTTAAAAAAATGAGTGCAAGGAAAGGGAAGAAATACTTGAAGATAGAAGAATTTTAATTAAAAATTGAAAGTAAATATTGTCAATTATTTTTTAATTTTCTAATAGGATGAGAAGCAGCAATGGACTGGAGGAATTAAAAAAAAAACAACAATTCTTTTCAATCTTCACAGAGGTGTCACGTAAGCAATGGCACGTGTCGAATTCTAAGACCTTGGAGTCTCCTAGATTGATTTTTACTCTCTATGCTAAATAAATCTAAATAAAAGTTGAAAAATTTACCTAAATAAGACTAAAATATAATGATTTTTTAAATATATAGGACTAAATGTTTTTATTTCCCAATGTAGAACTTTGATCATTATCAATTAGTCATTATTCAAGTAAATGTCCATCATTATTGATACATTATTTCTCCCACTAGCCATTATTAAGTCCTATTTAGGAAATAAAAAAATTTAAGTCCTACATTGGAAAATGACTTATGTATTAATCCTATTTAATGCAAATTTCACATAAAAGTTATAACAATTTGATGTATCAAGACTACATCTTAAAACAAATCAAATTATATTATATTTATATTATAATTAATTAAATATATTTTTTATCATAATTTATATTCAATTTTAATATAAAAACAAAATTAGAACAAATAATTTAGGACTAAGAGCACTGGTAATACCCCTCACGCCCACCGGCGTTACGGGGCGTTTAACGCCCCGGGGGCGTGAAACACCGCCCCCCGCCGGCGTGAAACGGGCGTGAATGCGGCTGCGTCATTCCTTTGACGCGGCGTGAGTTCGGCGCTGCTCCCTCCTAACGGCTAAAAAAGCCGTTGCACCCCAATTTAAAAAAAAAAATTTTTTTTCTTCCTATAAATTCAACCCTCCCCAACCAATCTCTCACACCTTCTCTCCAATCTCTTCTTCTTTCTTATTTTTAAATTTCAAAATTCAAATCCCTCCTCCCAATTTTCAACATGAATCCTTCCGGCTCCGGCTTCGTTCCCGACAATCTCCCCCCGAGTGACGCCGCGATGTGGTTCTACCAAGAGTGGGGCGATCGACCGCCGATATACGAGACGCAACAATCGGGGTACGTCGACCGAGATTCGGTTCAGGAGACTCAACCGGAACCGTCCGGATCGAAAAAAAGTACACG